GTGGCAGGATTAGCTGTATGGCCAATATGCTGAAATCGAGACCAAGGACCCCAATTGCGATTAGACTTCATCTTTCGGATTGTTCGATTACAGCTAATCCTGCCACTATTGTCTCCAGATTTACCTGTCTTCTTTCCCAGCTATATGGTAAAACTTCTTGGTAAAGTAAACATTTTCAGTTTGAATGGAGAGTTACGTATATATCATATTTGGGAATTAATATTCCGAAAAATTATCAATCTCTATATAAAGTTAATTACATCTCTTTGTTCAAACAAATGAGGGAGCTGCTGGAGGGTTGGATGAGACAAACTATCATGGATAGGTAAAATTAATGCAGTTAAAATGAAAATACTACCAAAATTATTATATTTGTTCCGTACCATACCGGTTAGTATCCCAAGAGATATTATCAACTAGTTTCAAAATAGATTTTTTTTGTGTTTGTTTGGAGTAATAAGCGTTCCAGGGTTCCTAGATTTACTATGTATGCACACAGGAGACGGGGGGGGGGGGTTAGGCCTCCCAAACTTTTATAAATATTATCAGGCAGCTCAGATGGTCCCTTTAGTTAACTTCTATATGACATCATATCGCCCAATCTGGGTAGACTCTTGCTTTCCCATCGCACTGTGTGCTACTCCATGGCTGCCATCAAGAATGCGTTCAACAATGAGCCCTTTCTTGACACAAATGCTCAAGATATGGGATAGTACGAGATACTATAGTAAACTTCAGTCCCCTCATTTACCGTTACTTCCGTTGACGGGTAATCCTCTATTCCCACCGGGACTGGAAATGCCTTTCGCATTCACTTGGTGGACCTCTCAAAGTATTGTATCTACATCAATTGATGGAGAACGATTCTATGCGCCCATGGACGTACTTTCAGAATAACTTACAAGCTCCAGCTACGGAATACTTTAGATATTTACAACTTAGACACTGGGTTTCCTCTGTGCTGCCCAGGGCTCCGGTTCGATTGGAATTAACCACTTTTGAGCATATCTGTCTGAATTGTCCTAACACCCCTAAACTTATTTCACTTCTTTACTCCCAGTTAAATGGATTAACAGCCCGAAATAGTCATAAATATGTACAGAAATGGGAAAGAGATTTGGGCACGACTAAACAACCAAAAGGAGTGGAAAGAGATTTGGGGTTCAGTAGCTACTAGTTCCATCAATATAATCTCTTTGGAAACTGCATTTAAATCTTTGACCAGATGGTATTTGGTGCCCTCCAGGTTGGGCCATCTCCACTCGACGCATTCTGACCTCTGCTTTCGGGGGGGGTGCATCGAGGGGAGACGTTATCCACACCTGGTGGACATGCCCAACACTGGAAAGGTTCTGGTCCAAAGTATTTCAATTAATTTGCAACCTTTTCTCAGTTAATATTGAAAGAGACCCTTAGGTGGCCCTATTAAGTTTCAAAACTCCCCTCATAACAAACTTACAGCACAAATTGGTGATTTAGGTTATGTTGGTGGCTAAACAAGCTATAGCTTGCTCTTGGAAGAAACCATCTGTATCCTTTAGAGAGGTTAATAGAAAAATAGATTCCTTTTTTCTTAATGAAAAATTAACTAGTATTTTGTTGGATACTAATACAAAATTTCAGAGGATATGGCAACCCTGGATCGCTCATGTCCACCCATCACTCCCTGTAGAAAGCGCGACATTCTTGTAACGGTCGTACCCACCGAAACTCTAGGGGTTAACTTTTATGTTGTTCTTGTGATGTGATTTTATGTTAAAGGAGAACTATGAGATGAGTGATTTCCACTCACCTCATAGTTCTAGCCGACCTGTGACAATGAGACTGTCACAGGTCGGCTCAGTAAATCGGGAGGTGAGCGAACAAATACCGGGTTCCGTTACCTCTCGATCCTGTCACGGCTCTCTGCCGTGACAGGGGGAGGGGCTGGATTCCCCTCTATAGATAAAAATGGCTCACGGGGAGGGCCAGTAGAGGCTGTTCCTTGTAAGTCATTAAAGCTAACGGTCATTTTAATGTAAATGTCTTTTTTTTAATGGTATAAAACTAATAACATTTTTGAAAAGAAAAAAGGAGGGGAGTGACGCCGAGGTGAAAAAAAGGAGGGGATGGAAGCCATGTGTTTTTTCTGTGTGGGGTATGCACTTAAAATCCGTACCAGACCCCTATCAAGGATAAAGGATCTGTATAGATTTTATATACTTTAAAAAAGTGCTGTTCTAAGAGGACATCAGAGACACACAAGGTGGTAGTGCCACGCCCATGGACCTGTATAGCATCCTGCCGCTAACGCAACACATTGCACTATATGCCTAGGTGAGCACCTAATACAGAATCCAGTGCTCAAATACACATTACAGGATGGCCCCAGGTATGCCCCCTCAAAGCTCTTTTGTTGCGTCAACCTGACTCATAAAGCTGCAAAAATAGGAGCCACAGTGGTTATGTATCAACTAGAAATCTTGATAGAACAAGCTTGATGAAAGTGACAAAAGAGAAGAAAGGTTGTGTGCTCATCTCCAAGCAGAGAGAAAACGTCCAACTAAAGACATTAGCAATAAACTAGGGCTTGCGGAGAGTAAAAGGGATTATACTAGGGCTATTCTTGCATCTTTGTTTGCCAGTGTCCAATCACCTGAAGTCAGCAGCATATTACCCATGGTCTCTGAGGGTCCAAGACTCTGATCCTGTGTCCTGTGATGTACAATTAAAAAATGTTTTCTGCAACTACTGACACACTAAGGCCCCATTCACACTGAGCGACATGAAAATCGCGCGATTTTATATGAGCGATATTGAGCAACTTGTCGCGCGACTTTTTCCTATTGGGCTGTATGCAATCAGGCGCGAAATCGCTCGAAAAAAAGGGTCATGTAGGAGCGACGAGCTACAAGCGATATTGAGCGATGAGATGTGAACAGCTCCACTGAAATAGATTGGAGAAGCTACATAGAGCGATATCGTGTGGAAATATGAGCGATATCGCTGAAAAAAATCGTGCGATAAATGGCTCAGTGTGAATGGGGCCTTAAATGAGAAGATCTGAACTAACAAGTCTACATCAATGTAGGTTTGTACAGGTTTACAGTTAAACTGAGGAGTAATTGTGATAGGCTGTTAAAGAACCTACAGAAATTAGATAAAGATCAGCGATGCTTGCACAATATGGTCGTTGAATAATCGTTATGCAAACATGCATACAAATATTGGAGCAACGAGCAACTTGTGCCTGCAGCAGGGAGGGGAAAAAAAAAATAGCAATCAATAGAGATGCGCCGATACTAGTATCGGTATCGGTGCTGATACCAAGTATTTGTGCGAGTACGAAATGCTCGGCCAAATTGTCCGACCGATACAGGAGCATCCGGTCAGAGGAAGATTTCCTCTGACCGGCAGTGCCGTAGGGAAACATGGAGCCAGCTTCCCAGCCAATCAGGAAGCAGGGAGGGGGGTCATTACTCGTCGCCCGGCTTCCTGATTGGCCGTAAGTCAGCTCCATGCCAGCAGAAGCACCGGTATTGGTACTCTGTGTCAGCGAGTACTAAAAGCAAAATACCTGTACTCGTATTAGATACCGAAAAAACGGTATCGGTGCATCCCTAGTAATCAACCTGGGAAATCCATCCCGGCAAAGCAATTTTACATCCAAGAAGGCATATGGGCAAACAGACTACTATATTCTATTTTCGCTTCACATATATACACTTTCAATGCACAAGAAAGATCTCTCAGTCATAACACATGGCTCGTTATACATGTCTAGGCTTGTAACAGAAGTCAATAAAAACTCTATCCAGGCATCCGAAAAGGAAAGAACACATCTTTTAAAACAAGTCTCTAAAGAAAAACACCATGTATTTTCCAAATTAACCTTTGCACTCCCACATTGCAAGGTTTAAGTGCTTGTTTTGATCTAGAGGGGAAAATAAAGAAGATATACTCACATGATCCTCGTTCCTGTGGCAGTGACTGCTTGGCACTCTACCCCTCCATTAGAGCTGTAGTATATCCCTCGGCATCTTCATATCTAATGGACCTGCATTAGATGAGATGACGCCATGGGCACTTAGACAGGCGGAGCCTGGGGTAAAAGAGGCTGCAGTAACTGGTCTAAAAGACAGGCAGGACTAAGGATCGGATTAGTATATCTACTTTATTTCCATCCCTACACCAAATCGAACACTTAAAAAAGGAGAACTATGGGGTTAGGGCTTTTCCCCATAGTTCTCCTAAGGGTAACGGGAGGACACAAACTAGCGTCCTCCCGTCACCCAAAGCTCAGTATACTGCGCGCTACAGCTCGCGGTATACTGAGACGCCGCAGCTGGAATGGATCCCGGCAATTATGTCTGGATCCGCACAGCTGCATGACAGCTGGTTCTGCCTATCTGGAGGCAGAGCAAGTTGTACCCGCCCCCTCCCGTTCCGCCAGTCAGCACTAGAGGATCAGACAGGGGAGGGGGGAATCCAGTCCCTCCCCTGTCACTGCTCTCTGCCGGCACAGGATCGAGAAGCGAGCGAACGTCGGTATTTGTTCGCTCACTTCCCGATCTACTGAGCCGACCTGTGACAGTTTCATTGTCACAGGTCGGCTCAGATTATGAGGCTGAGTGAAAATCACTCACCTCATAATTCACCTTTAACACTTGCAGTGTTGGGGAAGGCACACTGCAGGGGTTAGTTTGAAAATTACCTGGAGTTGATCTTTAAAACTAAACAAAACGCGTTTATAAAAGAAAAACGGTTACCTACAACTGCCAAACCTGGGGCAAAAAATGTGATAATTTACACATTTAGCGGGCTAGTGCATATAGCAAAAAGCAATGTGGAAACCCATAGTAATAAATAAATTCATCTTTCACTAACCAGATTTAGTTAACTGAATGGTTACTATGCCTTACAACACTTCATTGCTACTTCTCTCACTGGTTTCCTGAAAGCCTGTAAGTTTTTTTTACCATGCCATGCAAGTAAACAACAAGATCAACAACAAAACGTACCTTTTCTTTAATTTGCCAAGAACTTCCTTGTGGATATAGTTTCTTTTCCCATAGCAGAACAACAATTCCACGAGCCTGCAGCAAACTTGCACAAACATCTCTCATTAGTCTAGAAACTCTGGAAAGATGGCACAAAGTAAAACCATCAAGAAATCCTGCAATGTGCTGCAAAACTTCATAAGGCAAACTACTGAAATTATCCACAGATTGGCTTTGTGGTGAATTCTTTATCAACTGGCTTTTGCTGGGTATGTGAGGCTGCACCCCAAAAGACTTCAAGTGTCGATCATGAATTATTTTTGATCCTTGCGTCAATGGGCAAAATCTACGTTGAGAATAAGTACATCCATAATATGCCAACGGACATCTTTGCTCCATCCATCCATTTAAACCTGCGTGAATATCAGCATGCACATTCTTAAAGTGGGAAGAAAATTCATCTCTTCTAAACAGCTGTCCACATACAAATGTAAACATAGATCTCTGTTTGACTTGGTATCCTGCAACATATTCGAGAACCAAGTCTAGACCAAGTGTCTGGAAAGGACTAGGATTGGAAAGCTGAGGATTAGCATGGTCACAAGCACAAGCTGAAGCAATATCCCCAACCATTGTATTTGTAGCTAATATTGCAGATGGAAATGAAAAGGTTTGCGTTCCGCAGTCAATACGATTGGAATCCACATTTCGTTTGTCAGAAATCCCTCTACCTCCAGGTGACTCCCCTAAACAGAATAGAAAAGCAGCTGTAACTAAATCAATGCAATTGAGTCCCATGGGATCGTCTTGTACTTCCAAATCAGATGTGTCCACTGCCTTGTTCTCAGTCCTTGCTTTAAACCAGTATGAATTACCAAGAAATGGGCTTCTCCCAAAGACCGCAACATTTTGGAACCACTGTTCACCATGTTTATCCATTTGCTCCTCAGAACCATTTGTGGTGTGTGGACCTGAGAGCTGCTCCACACTCCTGAAGGAACGATTGTGGTTTACATGTTTTGTACTGCTATCTAAAGGGATATCAGCATTTTGTTTTGATACTACGGTAAACATATCCTTTCCATCATTATGGAAACCGTTACACAATAGAGATGACTGCTTTACATTAGGGTCGTCACATTCCGTTAAATCACTGTTTCTTCTTGGATAGAAATCACTGGAACCATTTTGATTAAATTGTTTCAAGGGAGTGCACATTACTCCATAAGAAGCCTCAGCATCTTCTTTCTCTACAAATGCCTGATTGTTAAAGATATCACATCCACCGTTTTGCTCAGAAATCTGAAAATTTTTGTTAATCTCAGAACTGGCATCTCTTAACCTACCATTAAGCATACCAATCTCTCTTGTAGCATTATTTAATATGTCCAGAGCTGCAGCTAAACTTTTTGTCGTCTCAAGCGTTGCTTGATAAAGTGCACTATAAGAATCTTCATCATTAGAGGCAGCATTTGTAACCATTTGATGATCATTTTCTCCTTTAACAGGCATCTGCTCTTGAGATTGAAGCTTTTCAGTTGTTTTGGACATCATTGTTTCCACTTTAAGAGATTCCAAAAGCATTCTTTGATCTTGCAAAGCTAATGCCAGATCTAGCTGCTCTACTTTATCAACATCTGTGCTGAGGTTTTTATAAGATGTTCTATCTGCATAGCTTACTGGCCATCTATTCCACTCCATTGTACAACATACCACATTTGCAGGACAGTACTGTAAGTGTTCAGCTAACTTGTTACGAGTCATTACAAAAGGACAACCAAACCCTTGGTTTAAACATGGAACTCTTTCTAGGGGACACAGCATTTGATGTTCATCAGCTTTACAGGAGTGAAAGACTGCACCACATACATGCAAGCAGCTGATTAAATCACATGACACACCAGCCTCCAGCCTCATCATACAGCGGCGGCTGACACAGCTTGCACAATGTATATGTTGATTATCTTCATCCATAATGAGGACAAATCTGAAAAAAAGAAAAAAAACAAAAAAAGTAGATTATTTTTTTTTTTACCTTATCAGGTACCGATTTTATTTCTAAATATATAGCGGTCAATTATGGCTTATTGACAGGACTAGTTACAGTTTTCAGTGACGTGTTCCTGAAACATTTCCCTGGTTTTGAAAACTATGAAAAACTACATTGTCTAACGATGATAACAATGCCTTACCAATGGCATACTTGTAACTGCATAGTATATCAAGTTTTTTCGGGCTTTTGAAAAGAGAAATAAAGCCAAAACCTTTTTTTTAGCATTACCTTTCTTTTGGGTCACATGAATACATTTACTAATGTAGTCTTGTGACTCAAAGTCAGCATATTGTAATGTACTTTATACACTGATTACTAATATTTTCTTTTGTGGCTTAAATAACTCTTACATTTTTTAATTAACCCTTGCAATGGGGCTACCAACGCACTGCAGGGGTTAACTGATTGTGTCTAGGTGCTAAAAAAACGAAGATATACCCAAAGCTCTAAGCTGGCTTCTTCTTAGACCAGGCCTTTCAACGTCTCTCCCCCCTCCTCTGCAGCAGTGTATAGAGATTTGGGTGAGTATATCTTTGTTATTTTAGCACCTAGAGATAAACGAGCACTTAACCCTTGTGGTGTGGGGGAAGCCCCTCTGCAAGGGTTAATAAAAACAATTCCTGGAGTTCTTCTTTAACTACGGTGCCTCTAACACCAAATGGTATACAGATTATCGGTCTATGATCAACAAGAAATATCCAAATTGATTCACATACAACTTATTGATATCAAAATTAGCCACACTAACCCAAGTTCTTTTGAGGTTATGTAAATATTCTTTTTTTTTTCCTACAAAAATATGTAACAATGACTATCACTGTAATCGTACAGCATATCATCCAGGGGTTTATTATTACATCAAATGAAGTATAATGACGTACAGATAAATGGTAATTTAAACACATGCAAATCGATTTTTGTAAGGATTATGGATTGGAGTCATGCGAACTTAAAACAATACCACGCCCAACATTCATATTACAACCCCAATTCCAAAAAAGTTGGGACACTGTGTAAAATCTTAATAAAAACAGAATGCATTGATTTGCAAATCTCATAAACCCATATTTTATTCACAATAAAAAACATAAAATGGTAAATTTTCTCAGTTTAAACAGTTAAAGTGGGGTCAGTGTTTTTCCCCATAGTTCTCCTTAGGTTAACGGGAGGACACAAACTAGCGTCCTCCCGTTACCCTAAGCTCAGTATACCGCGCGCTACAGCTCGCGGTATACTGAGACACCGCATCCGGAGCGGGTCCCGACCTGGACATCGGGATCCGCACAGCTGCGTGAGTGACAGCTGGCTCTGCCTATCTAGAGGCTATTTAGAGGAATAGCAGGATACCACTGACTAGTTATAGAGGAACAACAAATTCCAGCAAGAATACATTATAAAGCGGCACAATGCAGAATACCACCAGCTATAGAGGAACAACAAATCCCAGCAATAATACATTATACAGGGTGTTTAATGTATTATTGCTGGGATGTGTTGTTCCTCTATAGCTGCTGGTGTTCTGCAGTGTGCTGCTTTTTTGCTTTTTTTTTAACCGGAAACATTAACATGTTCGATTAATCAAAATTTTTTAAAAATCGATTAATCTTGATTATAAACGCACATACAGATCCAACTACATTGGCCTATACACATACAGCACAGCAATGAAGTAATAAAATGAACTAGGATCACACTAATCCAGCACGTTATTAATCTCACGTGCCCCACTCAATATGGCCGCCGCTTGAGTGGGGCAACTCAGAATAATAACGTGCTGGATTAGTGTGATCCTGGTTCATTTCATTACTTCATTGCTGTGCTGTATGTGTATAGGCCAATGCCTTGGCTGGCGCTCGTGCAGAAAGTTTCTTGGGCAAACTCACCAGCCCAAGTGGCTCCGTCGGCTAACGAAGTGGGAGGAGTCCGGTGACGTCACGGACATCGGCGTCACCGGTCTCCTCCCCCCTTACCTTTGTTAGCCGTCACGGACATCGACGTCACCGTACTCCTCCATCTCCCTTCGTTACCTGACGGAGCCACTTGGGGAAGGGGGGAGGAGTCCGGTGACGTCGACGTCACCGGATCGCTGATGGGACTCCCGGAAGCCGGCGGAGAGATGAGTGTTTTCATTAGCGATCAAAATAATTTTAATCGATCAAAAAGTTTAACGATTAATCGAGAAATTAATCTTTAATTTTCACAGCCCTATTAAAAAGGTTTACAATCTCGTTGCTGAGTGACTTACTTTGAATCGTGGGCCCTTGACTGTCGCGAGCGGCGAGTCAGGAAGCTCACAGGGAGGAGAGGAGCAGAGGCATGTCCTCAGCGCGCGCGGCTTAACCCGCGTGTGCGGTGGGCATGGCGTGTGCGGTGGAGCGGCGAACAGGCAATTTATTCGATAGCCGAATAATCGACTAAATCGAATAGTTGTTGCAGCTCTACAGTACAGCACTGCGGTATAGGTCATAGCCAGGGGCAGACTGGCCGTAGGGCATACCGGGCTGGGCCGAACACGATCAGCCTGATTGTGTTAGACTCTGCCTGGCCCGCTATACCCGATGGCCTGCTCAGAGCAGTGCCAGCGCTTTCAGGCGGCTGCATAGGTAGCTGCATGAGAGCAGCAGGTGGATGGGTGTGCTGCCAGGCTTGAAAAGGGAGTGTAGTGTACCCAGGGGCGCTATGGAGCCCAGGGTGCAGGGGGGCCAGACCAGGAAAAGGTGTCCCTTCAGGGGCAGACTTGGCTGGGTGGGGGGGCGCTATACTGTTCCCCAGGCAGCACGGAGGCGCTGGGGCTCGTGGCCACTGCAGGGTTGTTTCCTCCAGTCCTCCCGCCGTGTACAATGTGGGAGCTCTAGGAAAAAACTGAGCAGGCTGCTGCAGTGTGTGAGTAGTATCTGGGTATAGCATGGGGTGCCACGGGGGTAGTTGAGGGGGTCGTTATCTCTCTCCCCCTCCCTCCTCAGAGCCAGTACGGAGCAAGAGGAACCAGTATAAGTGTTTGTTTTTTTTTAATCGCCCTGAGTCCATTGTGCCATTTCGTCGCAAAGCCCTGAGTCCATTGTGCCGCAGAGTGCTGAGTCTATTGCACCATTGTGTTGCAGAGCCCTGAGTCCAGTCCTGAGGGTGAGTATAATTATACTGCGAAACAGTGAAATGAATACTCATTAGGAATGCACTGATACCAGTATTGATGCAGATATTGGGCATTTTCATGAGTAGTTGTACTTATGAAAATTCCCCAATACCAAAAACCGATACCAGCGCTTTAAAGTTTCAAAATGAAGTGGCTGCCCCTAACTTGCTGGGGAACTTGCAGCAGCCTTCTTGGGAACCACACGGTGCCTGTTTACAGTGCTTCCCCTAGCCCGCACATCTTCCCTCTCCTGAGACCCTCTGCACCACTCCTGAGATCCTCCGCCCGAGACATCAGACTGGCACCCTAGAGCAGAGCAGCAGCACAAAGAATGTAGCAAATTCCTATACTATTATTCTGCATTGCTGTATAATGTATTGCTTGGATTTGTAGTCTACTACAGCTTGGAGTCAGTGGCAGAACAACCAGGGGCACACCAGTTGCAGTTGCCATGCTCCACCATTGTCCTAAAATCCTGTCTAATACACTACATATCTGTGCAATATACTACATACACAGGTATGTAGTGTATTACAAAAGGTGTTGTTGTTGTCCGCCTATGTATGGAATTGGTGGTATTGTACCAGTGTTGCAGGAGAACTCTGAGCGCCATTTCGGGAGCACTGACCAGTACACCATGCACGGGGTGCGGAGGACTGCTGGGGAGGCAGAGATCCGTTGAGGATATCACAAGATTTCTCTGTAACAAGCTTCCTATATTGTTGCAAGTTTGTGTGTCAACTGTAGCCCTCCTGTACTTACCAGCAACTGGCCCTGCCCCTCGATTGCACCTCCATGTTTGGCCCCTCCCCTGGATTGGGGGCATGGCCTTCAGGGTCACATGATTGGGCTGCTCAGTCTAAAATGCCCGGGCCTATTTTTTTGTCCCAGTCCGGCCCTGCTTGCAACACACCATTTTAAATGAGCTTTGGCCCAGAGAAGACTGCAGCATTTCTGAATCATGTCCAACTATGGCTTCTTTGCATGGTAGTGCTTTAACTTGCATTTTTGAATAGCAGACAGTGATTTTTTCGAAGTATATCTGAGCCCTTGCAGTGATGTCCATCACAAAGTCATGACTGTTTTTAATGCAGTGCCGTCTGAGCACCCGAGGAACACGGACAAGATTGCGTTTTCACCCTTGTCCCTTACGCACAGAGATGTCTCCAGATTCTCTGAATCTTTTGATGATATTATGTACTGTAGAGGATGATATATTTAACCCTTTCCTTGCCAAGGACGTATGGCATATGTAGGAACAAAAGTGTTCCCGGCAGGCTAAGGACTTATGCCGTACGGACCTGGCATTTACAATTCCGCTATAAGCTCATGGTCGCTATAGCGACCATGAGCTTATACTAGAACTGCTCGCCGGGACTGTCCCCTTCAAATTAATAGCCGTCATCAGCGGCTCACAAGCGGCTGATGACCGCTATTAACATAAATACCGGGCGCCCCCCCGCCGGCACCGCTGCTCCGCTAGGTACCCAGGAGATGCTGAACTGTTATTACACATTGAGAACCCGGCGGAGCTGCCTTGATATCATGGCGGCGCCGCTGGGTGCTCAGTGTGTAATGACAGTCCAGCCTCCCTTGGTTACTAGGTACCCAGCAGATACTGAACTGTCATTACACACCGAGAACCCGGCGGAGCCGCTGTGATATCATGGCAGCACCGCTCTCAGTAGGTAATGGCAGTCCAGCGTCCCCAGGTTACTAGGTACCCAGGAGATGCTGAACTGTCATTACACACTGAGAACCCGGTTTAGACCCCTAATATTTCACCGTAGCCCCCCCAACA